TATTTTAATAATCTAAACGATGTCATCATGGGCCTTAATGCTAGATCCATCAATGGGAAACTTCTCTCGGGCAAGGTTTATGATCTTTTGAGAATTAAAGGAGAGCCGAGGACATGGGTGAGCTTTATATGGAAATCATATATCCCTCCTAAGTTCTCATTTAATGTTTGGCTTACTTTTCGTAACCGGTTACCTACCCAAGATAACCTCGGTCACTTGCATATTGTTAATAGATGGGATCTTTGCAAGAGTGGCTTGGAAACAATATCACACCTATTTTTTATTTGTCCTTTCACTTGCAGGGTGTGGGAGAAAATTAGGAACTGGCTGGGGATGAGACATCAAATGACTACGCTCCAAAGCTTGATCAAGTGGATTCTTAAGGAGCACAAGGGCTCTATATTGAAAGGAAAAGCTGTCCGGGTTGCCTTTTGCGCTACAATTTATCACATTTGGCATGCTAGGAACGCTAATCGATTTGATAATGGGAGCAAAAAGGAAGAAGAGATTGTTGCTAAAATCAAGCATGTGGTATATAAGATACTTTTCAATATATACTCACATGAGTTGATCAAATTCTGATGGGAGGCCTTCGTCCATTTTTTGGAAGCTGCGGCATTCTGGGGTGAACTATTGGGAGTGTGCATCTTGCAACACCCATATTTTTTGGTTGTTTTTTGTGCTAAGGGAGTGTAAATATAACCTCCCTTTGGTTGTGGATTTTTTTTTGTGTTCTGTTAGAACAGTTTGTGATATGTGTGTGTGCACCTATGCAGCACCATTTATTTTTTTATGTGTGTGGCACCAGGTAGTGTATACTTGGGCTCTTATGTTTTTGTTTAGATCGAATATAAACCCTTTCTCAACCCCTACACTAGGTAGGGGTGGGGGGTTTAGGAGATCTAAAACCTTGATGTATAGTTTCTTTGGATGTTAATATAAATTTACATTTCATCCAAAAAAATGATTGAGGGCTCTTATACACTCCCACAAACCCCCCATACGAACCCAAAAAGATAAGAGAGGAAAAAAAGCCACACAATCCAAGAGAGGAGGAAAGAAGGAAACGGGCAGGGAAATTTCCAATGCGTAAGGTTGATTGTTTGCTTCATATCTTGAGCTACACTCATCCAAATAAGGCGTGTGAGGTGTCTACAGAAAGCTCTCAGAATAAGGTATCCATAGACATGAGGTTAGAAGAAAATGGAGCAGTTTAAGGCCTCCAAATCATCGAAGGAAAACGATACCTCGCTGGATACGTTTTTGCATTCATAGTAAGTTTGAACCCAAAATCTTCCTTTTCATTATCTAAATGATATGAACGATTGGTGGAGCTATTATAAACTAATTTAAGTGTATAATATGTTCCTTATAAGGTTGCTATATTGAAGTAAATGTTAGATGCTAACCTAGAACAAACCTTGAAAGGTTAAGAAGCGATTTCGCCGGAAAACACCCATTCTAGGGGCTGTTTTCGTATCATCGGTTAGGAGTTAAGCTAGCACCTTGAGGAGGATGTCTAACAATCATTTGTAAGCAAGGAATCAGTCCTCAAACTTCCTCGGCCGAAGCTTTGAGAATTGGATCGAGAAGGAAAGGTTTAAAGCTCATTTGAGGTGAGGATCGACATCTAATTACTAGTTAAATGGAGAAATGCATGGTATATTATTGTAGGTTAAGCATGAGATTATCTAAATATATGAATCATGTTTTTCATGGATTATGATGATTGATTATTGATGACATATTGATATATTTGACAAGGAATGAAATCGCAAATGATTTGGAATCATATTGATAACAATGGAGTTAAATGAACTATTATGTAAAATAGACATTTCTATTCATGTGTAAATTGTGTAGATACATAAATGAATATTTATGTATTACATTGGATGCTTAAGTTGCTGCTACATATCTCTAGATATGTAGGGACTTACAAGTAGAATATTTGATTTATAAGAATAATCTTAATAGTATTGAATTACTAGTTAATGATTGTTTGTAATTGTCAAGGAATTGAATCTAAGAATATGATTGTAAGTGATGTGGTTGGATGTGATTCAAGTGACTTAATTGATTTAGTATGAAGCTGAGATCATGTTATGGGCAGTCCCGTAAGGATGTCCCAAAATAGATTATTGATATCTCAATTCTAGGTATAGGTTTGCTTAGGAATTGAGTCTATGCCATGGCACAGTGATGTACTTGAGTTGGACTCTAGAAGTGCATGGGTAGACAAGGGGTTGTGATTGATGACATGAATGGTGATGTACTTGAGCTGGACTCTAGAAATGCATGGGAGATTTGAGGTTGTAGCCTATGATGTGCATGGTGATGTACTTGAGTTGGACTCTAGAAATGCACGGTGGAGTAATTAACTTGTGTCATATGATTTGCATGGTGATGTACTTGAGTTGGGCTATAGAAATGCAAACGTATGTGTTAGGGTTGGACCCTATGAATTGTTGTGACTGGTAGTCACGGGGTATTGGGTTGATGTTTTGTAAACAAACCTTGGGCCTACGGGTCGACTACTTAACTTTATATATAAAGTAAGTATATTTTGAAAAGGGGTAACTGGGGGTTACGGCCTATATTATATTATCATCCTATTTGAGGGTCTTGTGTTTGAAATACTTGTTGTATATCTATTAGATGCCATTCACACCAGTACTTTATAGCCGTATAGAGTACTGACCCCTTTTCGAGGGGCGTCCCACCACCATTTCAGGTTGAGGCTAGAGCTTGCTTCCTGTGCTCATTGCCTGGGTGATCATTTTGGAGAGAAGACTTGGGTCGTGCTTCCTCCATTCTGTTTTTGAACATTTATAAATATGCTCATGGATATTTTACTATAGAGCATGCGTGCTCATGTTTGCCCCGTGTGACATTTGTTTTCAAACTATGTTTTCCGCTGCGTGATGAATTGCTATTATGTATGTTTATGGATGACTTATGTGTGAATGATATTCAAGACGCCTTGTATAACATGGATGTGTTAGACTGCGGTTGACTATTCGTATTGTACGGTGGGTTGTTGACGTGTCCGGATAGGTCCGGGGCGTGACACAACGTGTGGCTCACACATTGGAATAGTGTGTAAAGTCTAAGTGACAGTAAGCAGTTAGGTTGGGTGAAATTGGTCTACGTGTAAGAAATATAGCAATAGTTGCTGCTAGGCGTGTAGGCATTTATAAATTAGATTTACCCAACGATTATAGTACAGAACTAAATAATTGTTATTTTGTTCCTTCTATAACAAAGAATGTAATTTCCATTCATATGTTAGACATTAAGGGGTTTCCTTCCATTTTGCTGATAACACTTGTTGTTTTTGACAAAATGGCATTGTGTATGGAAATGCCCCTCTTATGAATGGTTTATATATTCTTACTTGTAGGCATGTCATATTAACTGTACAAAATAAGAGACCAATGTTAAGTAATCAGAAAAATAACAAGGTTAAGTAAATTAGATTACTTAACACCATTTGATTTTGAATCACATGGTAATTGTGATTCCCGTCTCTTAGCTAAAATGACCAATAAACCTTTTCTTGGAAAAGGATTGCGGGCCAAAGAAGTGCTTGAGTTGATTCAAACAGACGTGTGTGGACAGTTCCCAACTCAAGTTAGAGGAGGATTTTCTTACTTCATCATTTTACTAATGATTTCTCTAGGTTTGGATTTGTGTATCTTATGAAACACAAATCAGAAGCTTCTGAGAAATTCATGGAGTATAAGGCTGAAGTAGAGAAACAACTTGACAAGAGTATCAAGACTCTACGATCTGATCGTGGAGGGGAATACTTGAGTAAAGAGTTTCTTGATTACTTGAAAGGTCAAGGAATTCAGTCACAATGGACTTCTCCAAGAACACCTCAATTGAATTGGGTTTCTAAAAGGAGAAATAAAACCTTGTTGGACATAGTTAGGTCCATAATGAATTCCACGTCTCTTCCAACATCTCTTTGGGGGTAAGCGTTGGAAACCTCAATATACGTTCTGAATAGAGTTCCATCTAAGTTAGTGCAACAGACACCATATGAGTTATGGTGTAATAAGAAGCATATTCTTACACATATTAAAGTGTGAGGTTGCCTTACATATGTGAAGAAAATGGACATTGACCAGTTGTTCCAACCTGAAGTTGGTCTCCCTACAACTTGATTGGATTTGCCCAGAATCAACTTCATCTTCACTTATTGAAGATTTAGAACCATGAATGCTCTTTAGTTCCGTCACAGATTGTATTGTCATTGGCTCAGAAAAATCTGATAAGTCACCTACATCATGAAATATAGCACATGCTCCATTCGTGGAGAGGGACAAACAAGCAGGTTGTTTGTCATCTTCACTGTCATATTCATCAAATATCCATTCATCATTTTCTGTTGCCACCTGTAATGATGACGATGATGATAATAATAATAATAATAATAATAATAAAATCATCAAAGTTATCTCACACAATTAACACCTACTAAAAAGACCGTGAATTGAAAATAACTTGTCGAGCAAAGTGTATTTTTATGAGAAAAATTACACATATAATCTCATGGTGATACCTAAGTCACAAATACTGTTAAATAAATTGTTCAATAAAAATTTTCATGCTAGATTAAAACAACAACAAAAACATACGACTAATGAAAATGACGTGAAAGTGAAAGATATGGAAAAGAAACGTAGTGCAAAATAAAGTGTATGACAATCTTACTTTAACCCTAATTGCAGGATGGAATTGCAGTTTGCAGAATCGTGTATGAGGACTATGGCAGACTAGGCGGCTGAATCTTGTACGAGAAGAGGGAATTGTAGATAGTGGGTTAGGCGGTAGTTGGCTATGTATAAGTTTAGCTATTTTGTGATTCATTATATGGAGTTTTTAATGTTTATTTTTGTTATTTTATTACGTGGCGCCACATCATACTCTGTTAATTGTATATTAAGGATAGTGATTTTTAAGCTTTGTATTGATATATAGTAATCTTATAGATCCCTTATTGATGGAATTATTCTTTCCGATACAAAACTGATATTAAACTCAATTTTAGGGTTTTGCACTCATAAAATTCTTCTTTTTTTGATCGGTCAAACTAGATTGTCTGATACAGCATACAAAATATTGAATTCGATATAGAATTCCTGATACGGAGTAATATTTATGAAATTCTTTGTTTTTAATTCAATATCAACCGGTTGAATCAATTTTCTCTTTCATAACTGTATCGTAGCTTTGAAGTGGGAAGGCGAGAACATCCGGCAGACGGCAGTGATTGCGCGGGGCCACTTTGCCGGAAGTCCGTACCCGGCTAATTCGTCTCCCTCCTGAGTCATGGTCTCAGCCCTGAGTAGCCAGTGGTGACGTTCTTGCTTCTAAAAATCGAAGGGGAAATGGAGAAGATGGTGGCAGTAGGCCTTGTTTGGGGAGCCACAAACGCCTTCATGAAAAATGGCGTACTCAAATGCGACGAGAAGCTAAGATCGTCTCTCCATTCTAACACCCCGCAACACCCCGCTCTCAAAACCCTCAAGAATTGGTTGGATCTGGTTTTGACTTGGCAGTACTCTGTGCCGTTCCTTCTGAACCTTTCTGCTTCGGCAGCTTTCTACGCAATCCTCAGCGATGCACCAATATCTCTAGCTGTTCCAGTCACCAATGCGACGACGTTTGCAGCCACCGCCGTTTTCGGGGTGATTCTCGGGGAAGAGATCCGGATTGGGCTGGCTCTGTTTGGTACTTTTCTTATTGCTCTTGGAGTTTATATATGTGTCATGTGAATACAATTTGATCAATGGATGTCTTATTCTCTTTGTTTCCCAGGCAAATTTTTTTATATCATTTCTTTGGTAATAACTACTCCGTAATAAGTTACTGTTAGTGTTAGTTCATTTTGAAATTCTGTTACATTCTTGATGATGTTGATGATGATGATATGCTGCCGATGCTGAGATATTCTATGCGGTCCAAGTTATTAATGATGTGGAAAATTATGCTAAACTTATGTACATTATTATTGTATTAATAGGATAGATTTATTCTTCACAGTTGAGGCCTTGAGGAGGAGATAGGATATAGATTATTTATTGTTCCTTAGCATAATTGGCATTCTGTTCTGGTGATAACTGGATTGATTGTCCGGAATAAAATGGTTCTTTATGACAGTGTCGGAGCCAGAAATCTATGATTAAGGGGGCCGAGCTTTGAAAATTTACATTGTTGAGGCCAAAGTTTAAAATATCTAACATATTTTCCCTATATTAAAAATATCTTAAGGATTTTTTTTCTTGCTTTATGACATGTTTTGTGCCTAAAAGATGGTCATGGAGGCTGGTAGGCGGAGGGATATGAGGTTAACACCTTTAGGGTCAACTGGAACTCTGGAAGATCTCTGTAGTGGTCATCAAAGGGATATAATGGTACCATATACAAAGATATACAAAACCATGGAATACAATGCCTAAATCTAAATTGTAAAATGACAAGAGGACTAAAAAACACTAAATTAGTCTCAAATACTACTTTCCGATCCTTTTAGAATATTTATTATGAGTTTTCTCTATTATGAAGTTGTTGAAATTGTATATGAACGACAAAAGGACTAAAGAATACACCTAATTAGTTTTAAATGCTCCTCTCCTATCCTTTTAGAATATTTATTACGACTTTTCTCTATCATGAAATTGTTAGGAATTAGAGACTTTGTTTCCACAACATTCCCTTTAATAAAAGAAATATACTTCCAATCTCCAATAATGTTTCTTTAATGATGGATATAACTTTAAAACTTAGCTGTAAGATTTTCCATGAGTTTCAAGAGTCACGCAAAAGCGCTTCTCATTGGTGTTTGATTGTCAGGGAAAGCTTTACTTTCCATGGAAAATAAGACTAGGGAGTCTGAGTCCTGACTTACTCCTCGGCCACAATATGATACATTGTATCACTTTTATGAAAAGTGATGTTAATATTCTTCGAAATCAAGGATCTAAGGTTTATTTCCTCTTGGGGAAGTGTTCTTTGTGCATTTTGCGAAGAAACTGACTTCTAATGACTTAAGACTCTTCATAATATTATTATTATTAGTATTATGTTTAATGTTATTATTACCATTACCCTTACCATTATTAGTAATATGTGGCTGGTAAGTATTAATAGATGCTCTACCTTTAATTATTACTACCTCCGTTCCTATTAAAACTTCCAAATAGGTTTGGCACAGTGTTTAAGATAGTGGGTATTGTGTGGTGGAGAGTAGTGCAGAGGAGAGAGAAATGTGTAAGAAATGTTGTGAACCACAAATTCTTTACTAAAAAGGGAAAGTGGAAGTTTTAATTGGAACGGACGAAAAAAGAAAGTTGGAAGTTTATTTAGGAACGGAGGGAGTAAAATGAACATGAACTGTTTCTTCATTAACAAAAATGTTTTGAAATGCTCCTAGAAGTTCTACATGAGTTTGAGGGGGACACATTTGTAATTTGTTGGAAACATGATATGGAAAAAGAACCAAATGGGTCCTTTCACCTTTTAGTGTTGTGCAAGTGATTCTTCTAACTCAAACAATGCCATGAGGTGAAGATTGTCCAATATTTCTATTTATGTCTCTTTTCTTTACAGTAGTATTATCTTGGGTTTTCTGAAAGGGGTAATTTGAGTTTGCACCCCATTTTATTGTGCAAATTAGACTTTGCACACCGTTTTTAAAAAACTTTGTTTTTGCACCCCAACTCCGTATGAAAAGACAAAATCCCCTCCATCAACAATTTTGTTGGCCTTCAACATATTCTTGGTTGAAGGAATTTTTGTCTTTTCATATGGGGATAGGGTGCAAAAACAAAGATTTTTAAAAACGGGGTGCAAAGTCCAATTTGGACAATAAAATGGGGTACAAACTCAAATCACCCCTTTCTGAAATAGCAAACAGGATAATTAGCAAATGTTGAATAGTGCAGTCGGCCCATGAGAGGCACTCTAAACAAGGACCTGATCTAGTTGAACTAAATCCCAAAATTTCATCACCATCATTTATGAGCAATTGAGAGAGAAGCTGCCATGATCTTTCAGACCTGGACAGAGAAGCTGCCAAAATTTCTTCAAGGCCTTGCAAATTTGGTGAATAAATGAAGCTAGTTAGTTGACAGGAAGGCAAACTCAGCTTGTAGTTGGCAAATTTCTTCAAGACCTTGCAAATTAGGGCTGAAACTCACTCTATTGAGTTTCAAAACCTCATGTGCCTAGCGGGTTTCAAACTCGAGACTTTCCATTAAGCACGGTAACCTCGCAACCAGCTGGGCTGGAATGCTTGGTTAGGAGTAACTTTTTACTCGTTATGAGTTACATTATAGTAATATATCAAATTGAAGATGCTTGGTTAGGAGTAACTTTTTACTCGTTATGAGTTACATGATAGTAATATATCAAATTGAAGATATTGCAGTGTTATTTATTCTCAAACCTTCAGGAGGTCTGCCGACTACCCTGACCCCCTCGACTCCGCTCATGGTTACCCCTGTTTAATATAGAATCTATTATTTTAATATTACATTTTAATAATGACAAGTAATTAATGTCGTGTTGCACCCCCCCCCCCCCCCCCACCCAAGCATTGTTGCCTGCCTGCCTGTCCACTGCTGTCATTACCGCTACCGTCGTTGCCATCGGTGAATGGTGATAGTGTCCACCTTCTATAGTTGCTATAAAAGTGCATTAACGATTTCGTCCCAACTTTGACCAAATTAGCTCCTTAAGGTAAAACTCTAGCCGTAGTCACTAAAACTCTAGCCGCATTGATTAGAACCTTAACCGCAACGGTTAGAAGATAATATGATTCAGATTAGCCAATTAGTCATGTCACTAATGGGACCAAGGACTTATGGCCATACACTCTTATTGCAATGTGGGAGTAACAATTGACGCTATATCACTAATGGGTTAAGTAGTTATGTACTCCCGCTAGAAGGGGAACCTTCTAGAAGGGGAACCTTCTGATGGGACGGAGGTAGTAATTTCTATGAGATCAAGATTAATCATTTCATGATCACTATTGGTGGCGGCGGCGGTGATGATTGTCATTAAGAACAGTTGATATAAGCACTTGAATGGTTTACTTTTTGCAGGAACCCTTTGAAGTTTATTGGGTCATTTTCTTTTTAGAAAATCACACTTTTAGTCACTCAATTAGTCATCATATATGGTAGTTCAGAATGAGAGATGAATTATAAATGATGAGAATGACATTTACAACACACATGTCAATTCAAGGGTCACATTTAAAATCTCAGAAAGACGAGTCTCACATTTGAATATGGTGACAATTGAGTAACATTTTTCATTTTCATTTTATTGGCCTCTCTCCTCGTTATCTCTGACAGAGTTCTGCGCACTTCTGCCTTTTTTAGTAGTAGAAGGTTATCTGTTGCTTGATTATTATTTGTAACTCCTTTGTATTTCCGTCATAATATTTTTGGAGTTTCACTATTCTTTTTATCCACGATAATCTTTTATTTTCCTCCAATTTTGATATCAATTTTGTGTCATATTCTAAATCAACTTTTGCATTCTAAAGTTATTTTTTTTTGCGAAGTTTGTAAGTATAGAAAATATAATTATAAACACGAGTTTAAATATGATTTTATCAGTATTCTGACATTGAAGTATTCTTCTACACGTCATATATTGATTTGATGAGTCATAACAGGATGTTAATTAGGGATCATTATTTAGCCTATGGGCTTATGAGCTCATGGGGACCTATCTTTCCTATTTGTCAAAAAGTCAAGCCCGGCTCATAAGAGCCATGGGCTGACCCATCCCACTATTTGAAGTGATGGACATGTGGTAGAGTATTTGAAACCTGGTCCAGTCCATTAGCCTTCCATCATTACCATCACGGCCCAACCTATTAAACCCAGTCCAAAACGTCCTTGAAAATTAATCATCCATATCATATTCGAGATTAGTACCAGACTTGATAATGAGAAAACATTTTTTTTCAATCAATCAAAAGAAATATGTTTTCTCATTATCAAGTCTGGTACTAATCTCGAATATGATATGGATGATTAATTTTCAAGGAGGTTTTCACAAATTATTTGAATCATGATGGAATTATGTGCATAATCTATATATTAAATTCTCGGACAATGTCCAAATTTAACTCTAATTGAAGTACATTGAAAGCGCAATTGTTCACTCGTTAATTTTTATATTGCTTAATAGGACGAATTTAAATAGATATCACATCCACATACAACAATGTTGCTATGAAACTGAACAAAAAACGTTTCAGAGTTTGTAACTTTTATAACTACTGTGTACCCCGTGTGCACCGCACAGTAGGATATGTGTTTAAATTATTTCTTAAATTTGTAGGAATCTTGGATTGTATATAATTCGTCAATCGAGGTTGAAAAGAGAATTCAATCGACTATACCGTCTATACGTACAAATGTAAAAATGAGTTGAACTCCACAAGACTTGCTCGTTTCATGGTGGATTGCATTTTAATAACCTGATTAACTCACTGGTTTCGTGTATGGTTGGACTCGGGCCGGCGGTTCTATATAGCTGGACCCGGGACCGGCCCGGGTAGCCACCGGGTCCGGTCCGGGCCGGGCCTGGGTAGCCACCGGGTCCGGTCCGGGCCGGGCCTCAGGTTTGGTTTTTTTTTTTGCTTAGCTACCCATCCCTGACCCTCCCCCTCACCCCACCCCCCAAACCCCTCCTAAACATCAAGCCCAACCCGGTGGAGCCCAAACAAATGAAAAAAACCAAAAAAAAAAAAAAATTGGCCCGAACCGGGCCCGGCCCCGGCCGGGCCTTGTTATGGGTGACCCGAGCCCGGACCGGAAACCCACCGGGTCGGGCCTACCCGGACCGGTCACTGACCGGGCCGGTCCGGTTCCGGGTCGGACCACCCGGCCCGAGTCCAACCATAGTTTCGTGGGTCAACATAGGAGTGGACTCGGGCCGGGCCAACCGGCCCGGAACCG